TTGTGTGACTTGTCTGCCTTGCTAGAATCAAGGTACACAGTCTGTGATATTCCCTTAGAGTAGTCCCATCTGTTTCGTATCATGGCATGTACAGAAAACGTTATTTGTTTGGCACTCTGGGATAAACAGTACCTTGGGGTAAAAGAAGGAAGCTATTAGAGCCAAGAGGCAACTGCCCAGGGCTCTGGCTACCTCTAGGGCTGGGAGGAAATATCTGACATAATCCAAACCCACTGATGAGTTGGGAAGATAGGTCTTAACTTACAAGTAAATTTAATTAGGAAATGAGGTTAGGTCAGTATGCCTTGGTCTTAGCTGTTACCTCTGTCTATTCCAAATGCTGACAAACAATTTACTGTACAATTTTGCCAGGAACAAACAAACTTTGTTAGGTCCTATTTTAAGGAATGCATTATCCCCCCTTTCGAAACATTTGCTTGTTTCCCTTGGTCATGATATGAAAAACCAAAACTGGCCAAGTACAGAGGGAAAATGCCAGCTCAGCATTCTTTCTATCCAGAACACCTTTTTTCTTTCTTCTGTGGTTTCCCTTGACCTTCTCAACATAAGCATAGTCAATTCTTTGTTCATCTCGGATCCTGCTGCACTACCTATAAACCTTTATAGCAGTACTTGTCCCACTGTATTATAGTTACTTCTGTGTATGTCTTACCTTAGAATGTAAGCTTCTTATGAGAAAGGGCCCACGTTAGTCATCTTCATATAACTGGCAGGTTAACAGTATTCTGCACTTAATAAATGTTCACCTGAATTTAATACTTGCCTGTTAAACTTTCTCCATCATTTGAAGCCTCATTAAAACTTCTCCTCCCTTCTCTGAGCTTAAAGCTAGGCTGAGATCACACTCTACTACCTGCTAATAATTACTTTGGACTAATCTCTATGACACACACAAGCGAACATGCACACAACAAGAACGGGGGAGAGGCCTTCAGATTACAGCTCTCAAATTCTTGCCACTGCTCTAGAACTCACTTTGGCTTTTATTTATTTTTAAATTGTATTTCTGTCATGGTAGATCCCAAACTGTGACTCAGCATCACATTGGGCCTCCTTGCACTTACCTTCTGCCCTCACGCATACACCTTATTTACACTGCATCCATCCTTACTGGGCTCCATTTAGTCCGAAGAAAGGGGGCATGATCCATTATGACCCATTCTCCCCTTTAAAACTTTCCTTTCTCTTCAGGAACTTTGCTCCAATAAGTACTTCCTCTGTCTTCTATTAACTGGCTTCCTCCCCTTGGCCTGTAAGTATGCTCAAACTGTCCTATCCAAAAAAACCCAAAATATAAGATCCTACCCCTGCCCCAGCTATACCATACTTTCTCCTTCTTTCCCTAAAATAGCACCAACATTCATTATCTCCCCTTTTACCCACTTTCCATTCAGGTCTTATTCCCAAGCAATCTGGTTTCTGATCCCATCACTTTATTCAAACTACCTAGTCTCTGAGATTACCAAACATCTTCTAATTACTAATTCCAAAGGGCACGCTTTAATCCCTATCTTATTATGATGATACTATTTCCTTTGTCTCCAAACTCATTTCCTTCCCTTCTGTAAGTCATGTGCATTTAGTTCTCTTATTTCTCTAATGATTCTTTCTTAACATCTGAATGTCGGCATGGCTCTTAAATGTTGGCATTCCTAGTAATTCTATCCTTGGCTCTTATTTTCTCCTTCTGCATGCTTACCCTGAATGAGCTCTCTGCTCCTATGGTTGTAAATGTCAATTTAATATTAATGTCTCCAAATCTGTATTCTGGAACATTTAATGCTCACTAAACATATCCACATGAATAACTACCTTCTTTGTATGAATTCAATTGGTATTTCCTTCACATATGTGATGTGCTAGATAGTGCAGAATATTGCAATGAACAAGGACATAGCTCCTGGCCTCATGGAAGGTACCTAACTAAAACTCTACTGTAATCTTTCTAAATTCTGGCCAACCTGCTTCTTTCTACTAATAGCTTCCGTCTGAGCTGAGAACACCATCAATCTACTTAGCACCTCAAACCAGAAACCTTTGAGCTATAGAGTATTTTATGTTCTTTAGTCTCCATATTCATTACATTCTTGGGAGTCCTGGCTTTTCTATGTTTAGAATATTTTTTTTAATCTATCCTCTCTTCTCTATTTCTGCCTCAAAAGCCTTGGTTAGTCTTCTTCATCTATGGCTTGAATTTGCAATAACCTCGACTGGCTACTCTGCTTCCAGTCTCTTCCCGAGTCCATCCTCTATCCAGCTACCCTAACAGTCTCTCTCATTTTGTTTATAATCTCCAAGCATTCCCACCCCCCAGACTCTAGGGCCTAGAGAATAAAGTCAAAGTGCCAGCTCCTTAGCATGGCATATGAAGTCCTTAAGTATCTGATCATAACTTTCCTCTCTAGTCAAGCACGCTTTGCCCCTCTCCTCCAAGTCCTTAAACTTTTTGCTCAGTAATTCTGAAGTACATGTTCCCACAATTCATCTTTTTTTTTTTTTTTTTAACGTATCTATTCATTTTTATGGATTGTTGCTTCTGTTCTGAATACCCCTGCCCACTGGTCTTCTTGTGGAGCAACTTCGCCTTATCAGGGAGTGTTCCCTGATCCCTTTGCACTCCATACCATCCTCTCCCGGACAGAATATATCACTTCCTAATCTAAACTATCTCTGCATCTTTGATATAGAACTGCATTTATTCTACCATATTTTCATGATGTTTCACACGTACGGCTCTCCTAATAAACCGAGTTCTTGAGAACAATGTCTATGTCTTACACACTTTGAACACTGCTACTCAATACTTGGCCTAGTGCCCGAGAGATAAATGTTAACCAAAGTAGAGATTTATATACACATCGGACTCCACAAGCAAACCATTAAGGGTCGTGATGTCATGACTTTGTGTGTCCTCAATAACTACTGAAAGGTTCTCAATACAGCTTTGTAGAAATAGTTTATCTAAATACAAATTCCTACATTAAAAAAAAAAAAAAAAAAACAGAAGGGGCACCTGGGTGGCTCAGTTGGTTAAGCGTCTGATTCTTGATTTCAGCTCAGGTCATGATCTCAGGGTCTTGAGATCAAGCCCTGCATTGGGCTCTGCACCACACATGGAGCCTACTTAAGAGTCTCTCTTTCCCCCTTCCTTGGCCCCCTCCCCGACACCATGCACACACAAGCTCTCTCTCAAAAAAACAAACAAACAAACAACAAAAAAAACCCAACCAGAAGACTTCTTGAGCTAATAATTTCAAAGCTAATAATCTCTACTGCCACACTGGTATAGTAATTAAGACCGTACCTCAAAATGCCAAGTGACCATATATATGCTCCTATTTCAAAGTAAGTTATAATTACACGTACTGCTACAGACCCAGAGATATCTGTTGATTAAAGCAACAGTCAGATGTTATTATCTGTTCTCTAAAGGGCTCAGCACTGCACTTGACTAATCCAAATTTCATTCAGCATCAAACATTTTTCTTGCTCAGGAATGAGAGGTTACAGAATCAAATTTAAACATACTTTATCATTTACATGAAGCAGAGTACCTGAAAGGGTATTATCTCTATTTTACACATAAGGAGACCAAACACAGGAGACATAATGTGTGATTAGATAGAAGTGCTCCATATATTCCAAGTCTTAACTTACCTTCATTGGCTGAATATTTTACCAGTAGGATTCGACTTGAGCTTAAAGCAATGAATATAGTGCCTAACAGGAAGGTATACATTGTTGACAAGGAGCAGAACATGGGATGACCACAGCACTTGCTTTCCATTCCACTGCTTTTTAATTGCCTTAAAGAAAAGAACATATTCGTGAGCAACGCTGCAGGCAGAAAAGCATAGAACAAATACCACTGATTAGTGAAGAACAGAAAAGAACTGATGTAGATTTCCGGCTATGGTTATATCAAAACCAAGAAAACTGAGGAGAACAAGAGGAAATGGGGAAAAAATGAAAGAGCCAGAATCTGATAGGAGGGGAAACTCGAGAGACAGAAAAGGCAGTGCCTGATTATAAGTGCTACCCAAAGTAGCAAGTGAGCAACTGACACTTTGGGGCTGTAGAATTCTGCAGAAAGCAATTTTAACCTCGATTCCTATTAGCAACTTTGCTCTAGAGGAAGAGAATTTCAGATTTCTATTGTTCTCCTCAGCAGCAGCACTTCTCTAGAAAGTGGGAAAAGAGCTTGCTGGGAAAGATTTCGTTACAATAATGAGCCAAATGGAAATATGTGAAACAGTGCTGTGAATTTATACTTAACTAGTGGTAAAAGCATAAGAGAGCTTAAAAATCAATGCCTCTAAGGTCGTCTTTTTGATATGTTGAGGAAACCTCTAGGCAGGGTAACTCCTCCACAGCCTCCCACTGCAGGGATGGTGCACAGGGCCTAGAACACCGAGACAGACGGGCTTGAAACGTCAATACGGACAGCCCACCTGCGCGCAAGCGTAGAGGTCAAAGATGTACGCTAGGAAGGCAGGTTTCCCTCAAAGGGGGGCAAGGGGCGGGGGGGGGGGAGAATCCTTCTTGTCACATGCGCAGTAGTTATCTCGAGCGGAGCGCCCTCCCCTCATACGCACGCGCACTTGTTTGTCAGCCGGGTGAGGTTACCTCTGTCCGTCCGTCCGAAGGGTTTTTAGTGGAGGAGCGCACATCCTAAAGCTGAGGCAGTAACTGTGTAACTCCGCAGAAGCAGCAGTAGCTTTTAGGGTCCATAGTTGGGGAAGCTATGGGAAGAAAAGAAAGGCCAAAAAGCCTCCGCCCTGGAGCCTCCTATTCCGGAACAAAAAGCACAATAACGTCCCAACTGGGAAAGAGCGGACCTGGTACCCATTGCGCAGGCGCGTTCAGTGTACGCTTCCGGAAGGAGGGAAGAAGCGGTCTGAGCCCGCCCCAGCGCGCCCTTTCTCGCGTCACGTGTCGGGAGAGTCCTGAGTCACGTGAGGCCCAGGTGGCGGCGGAGCTACGGCAAGAGAGAGAAGGGGAAGCCGGAAGGGGCGCGAGTGAAGCCAGGGGGAGAAGACAGCTCCCGAGAAGGCGAGGGGTGCGCGTGCGCCCGCCTCTCCTAACTCCCCCCTTGTCCCCGCCGCCCTCCCTCGCGGCCAGGTGACACCTTGGCCCGGTCCGCCGCGAACTGCCTGGGTGGCGAGCAGCGCGCGCCCTGCCCTCGCGATTGGCGCCGGCCGCCCCTCCCCCTCGTCCGGTCCGTCCCGTCGCGTCCCGTCGCGTCCCGTCCCCTTGGGTGCCGCCGGCCGGGTGCTGATGCGCGTCGGCGGCAGCGGGGATTTTTTCTGACTCCCGTCCCTTCCCCGGCTGCCCTTGCCGCCCCGTCGCGGGGCCGGCCGCTTCTCCGGCCCCAGGATGCAGAACGTGATTAACACGGTGAAGGGAAAAGCACTGGAAGTGGCTGAGTACCTGACCCCGGTCCTCAAGGTAAGCCAGGCCGGGCTTGCCATGGGCTGGTCAGGTACACGCTCAACTCCGCAGGAATTGAGGACCCGGCGCCGGGAGGGACACCGTGTCCTCCGGCGGGGAAGGTGTAGGAAGGTGGTGAGGGTGGGACACAGGAAAGGGTGCAGCCCTACCGGAGGTCTTACCGAGCTGTTCTCTAGGGCTTTCGGGCTCTGAATTCAGGTAAACTTGGAGCGACGCTGTGTGCGCATTGCTGTCGCCACCCGTCAGAACCCGGCGCGTCTGGGTACGTCAAGTTGGAAGGTGGTCGGCAGCTAAGTAGATTTGAGAACATAAATCTTAACATTGGAAGTCATTTAAACTTTTTAGTTTTGCTTATCTTTTTAAAAACGAAATCAGTATTTGGTAGTAAAATGACATGTCAGTATTTTCTTTCAAATGTCATAGAAAGTCTCTTATAATTAGGAGCTTGAAATAGTAAGTTGTGACTGAGGTACCCTCTTGTTAGATTTCAGAGGAACAAGGTGAATTGCAACATTATCTCTGTCAGCATCGTTGAACCCAACTAACAGGCAAAACTTCCCTTTCCGAGTTTTTAAAATAGCCGAAAACTCTTTGTAAATCCTGTACTTCTTTGTTAATAACCAGCAGCTTGATCCTCCTATATTTACTCTTTTTTTTTCCTTTGTCAATAATACAGTGTTTTTAAAGTAAAAGTAGTAACAGATTAGCTATTTTAACAGTGACTTTAATTTTCAGAGATAAATTTCTAGAAGTACATTCAAGTTTTATAAGTCTTATAAGTTTTTTGTCATTGTAACTTTTTCCTTTCTGATAAGTGAGCAATGAGAATAAATGAATAGGGAGTTCTTGCTTAAGTGCTTTTATTTTTTTAAGCTTTCAATGAAAATTTTACAGATCTTATTGTGGGGATGAAATATCCTTGGATATGGTTGGTCTTCTTTATAATAAGTTATCCCAGTATGCTAAGAAGAATAGTGGATAGTTTTACTTTGCTCCCTTTCCATGACAAAGGGAAATGTTAGTCATGTACTTTTTTTAATATTTATTTCTAAGACTGATTTTAAAATGATACCTTGTTGGGCCAAGTTTAAAACAAAAAAAGAAAAGTTTATAAATGAAAATTCCAACTCTTGCTATGCTTATATATTTTTTACTGTAAAATTCTTTGTAATTAATATTAGTCAACTTTGAAATTGAAAATTATTCTGATGTTTGAATCAAATGATTCTTTTGCATGTCATTTTTCAGAAACATGTCTACCTAGATAAGCAGCATTTAAATAATATACGATTGTTAAACTCTTTATTTTCAGAGAGAAAGTAAAAAAAGAGTTCCCAAATTAAATATTAAACTAATGTTTCAGGGGCGCCTCGGTGGCTCAGTTAGTTAAGCATCTTGCCTTCCTCTCAGGTCATGATCCCAGGATCCTGGGATCTGGCTATCTGCTCAGCGGGGAGTCGTCTTCTCCCTCTCCCTCTGCCTGCTCCTTCTGCTTGTGCTGTCTCTCTCTGTCAAATAAATAAAGTCTTTAAAAACAAACTTCTGTTTTATTGGCCAGTTGTATTTTATCGAACTTATAACAGAATTATGTTTTGAGAAATCATTTTGCTTATTCTCCAAACTGGAAAGTGTTAGTTTGTCAGTATATATTTGTCAGTATGTATTTTCAGTAATAAGGAAAGCAGAATTACTGACCCTCTCCTTGCCTGTCCCTATTTACAGAGAGGATCCTTGTAGTTTCCTACTAGACATAAGAAGGAAAAACTAAATCCTTCGGAAAGAAAACAATGACTTACCCTAGCAAGTAGAAATTAAGAAAAGTCAAGGTACAGTAAAAGCCAAAGTCCTTACAATGATCTTCAAGCCGCTACTTGATGGATAGAGGCCCTTATCTCAATGTAGCTTTGTTCCTTGCTCACTTTTACTTGAGCTAGTCTGACCTCTTTGTTACTCCATCAAATACTCTCTTGCCTCAGGTTTTTGTACTCGGCGCACCATCTGCCTAAAGTGCTCTTTTACAGCCTTGTGCCTTGTTCATTTTTTTAAGGTCTCTGCTCAGTAGTCACCTGTCAGTGAAACCTTTGTTTTCTTAACCATCCTATTTATTATTTATTTGTTTTAGATTTTTTTTTTTTTTAATTTTAGAGAGAGAGGTGGGGAGGAGGGAGAGAGAAACTCAAGCAAATTCCACACCCAGCATGGAGCCTGATGCAGGGTTTGATTTCATGATCCTGAGATCAGACCTGAGCCGAAACCAAGAGTTGGACACTTAACCGACTGTGCCACCCAGGCACCCCTATTTTTTTTTTTTTAAGATTATTTATTTTAGAGAGAGTGCGTGTGTGAGCAAGAGGAGGGAGGGGCAGACGGAGAGAGGAAGAGAGAGAATCCTCAAGCAGACTCCCCCGCCCCGAGCATGGAGCCTGCCATGCCCTGGGCACCATGCCCTGGGCTCCAACCCAGGACCCTGAGATCATGACCTGAGCAGAAAGCAAGAGCTGGCCACCTAACCAATTGAGCCACCCAGGCACCCCACCATCCTATTTTAAATAGCCATCACTCTCACTCCACCCCTGACCAGTTTCCTAGCTGCCTCATTTTTTTCCTTGTGGTTTTCATTACCATTTGGCTTTTTCACTCCACTAAAGTTTAAACTCCTTATGAGGACAAGGCTGAGTTTGGTCTATTTTACCTACTCCTATATCCCCCTTACTTCAAATAGTGCTTGGCACATAGTGGTTATTCGGTAAATACTTGTTGAATGAATGATGTTCATCAATGAATCCTTTCATTTTTGTAGACTGTACTACAAAATCTTAACATTTAACTTAAAATTTAGAAATATTTGGTAAATAGCATCTTTGCTTTAGAGGAGAAAATATTGTATCAATATCTTGGAGATAATAATGGGAAAGGATTGGGGTACCTGGGTGGCTTAGTCATTAAGCATTTGCCTTTGGCTCAGGTCATGATCCCGGGGTCCTGGGATCAAGCCCCGCATCTGGCTCCCTGCTCCGCGGGGGGCCTGCTTCTCCCTCTCCCACTCCCCCTGCTTGTGTTCCCTCTCTCCCTGTCTCTGTCAAATAAATAAATATAATCTTTTAAAAAATTAAATAAATAATGGGAAAGGATTAAATGATTTATGACTTATAGATTTTCTAGTGTTACTCAATTGAAATGAGATGTTGGAGATGTTGGCTGCATAGTAAAATTTCCCTAAACATTTTTAAGACATTTTTACTCTTCTGTAAAATAAAGATATTTGGTCATTTCACAAAATCATTGTAAGGCTTAATGTTTTTCCAAAGAGCTTTGCTCTATTATAGCACTGATCAAATTGCATTGTAATTATTTTCATGTCAGTTACCTTCATTAGACTTGTATATTCCTTGGGGTCAGGTACCAGTAATAGATTCTTTTTTGTATGTGCTCTGTTGCCTGGAAGGGTGCCAGACAAATACTTGCCCACAAACATTTTTAATTTGAAAGTGAAAAATAATATGTTATTTTTGCTTTCTTTAGGAATCAAAGTTTAAGGAAACAGGTGTTATCACCCCAGAAGAGGTGAGTGTTAAAGATATTCTGAAGCTATTATATTTTATCTGGGTGGTTTTTTGGCTTTATAAGGAAACATCTTAAACTTCAATCTTGATTCTTTTGACTATATTAGCAATTTTATAGGGATTTCTACTTCCCATAAGAGAGGATGTAACTTCTCTCTCAGTTTGCCACTTCTCATATTTCTTTATAGTTCCTCTTTATTTAGAAATGGAGGTGGGAGAGGGAATGGAAAAGATTCTGATGGTTGTTTACCCTCCACTCATATTTGTGTTACACTGAGGCTATAAAATGGGCTCTGTGGTGTTTGCTGTTGTCTTGCCTCTGTCTATATCAAACATGAGTTTTTGTGGCTTTTCATTTGGAAACTTTGGCTCTCTGCTTGGATATTAAATTTTCTTTCAATATTTAGCTTAAATATTTTATTGCTACATACTTAATGCTGATTTTTTTCTCACAATTCTTTCATTTTTTCTATTAACCAAGTAATGTTGAATCTGCTTAATACTGAAACTGATGTCTGTTTTATAGATGAGTTGTGTTTTATTGAACTTTTAACATAGAATTATTTGAAGGAATAATTTGAGGAATCACTTTACTTGGTCACCAAATCTATATAATAAAAGTGTTGTTTTGTTATCCTTAGAGAAGGATGTTCTAAACATCCTTTTACATCCCAGTTTCATGAATAGTTATGGTTGCATCAGACTTATTTTTTAGTCTTAATAAATAGCAAAGAATTTATTTTAAGTTTCACCTTTAACTTTCATTAAAAATACCACTTATTTGGCAATAGAATTTTACTTACTGTATTGAAAGAAACATTTTGAATTGGGGCATATTTTATGATCTGGCTATTGCCAGATCTAAGACCTCAAGCCTAAGAATTAACTGATCTTTCAGTTTTCAATTGTGATGGAATCTTTTGAGTCCCAAATCTTTGTGAGTTCTGAGGATGGTGTGCTGAATTGATCTTTTATCTAAAATTATCTTTATTTTTAATGAAGACACATGGTGGTATAGAAAGAACATAGGGGATTTGCCTTCTAGGCCCATTTCTCTTAATTTCTCCTTTTCTGACTTGGACAAATCTAAGCTCTGACAGTCATGTTTCCTTGTTTGTAAAATGAGGGATTTGGGCTAGACATTCTCTAAAGGACCTATTCTACCTTAGGCACCATGAGTTTAATACCTTGAATGCCACATAAAACTAAGTTTTGATATTGTTAACTTTCTTGCCAAACAGAGGTGTAATTTAGACTTGGCTCTTAAAACTATTTGAAATCAGGAGCAGGGATGAAAGTATGCTGTTCTTCTTGCACTCTTTGGCTTTATCTAGGGGAAGATGACTAATTGGTAAATAGATGGTTGGAGTTAGAGATGCAAGTCTGTGGTCATTGGATAGACTGAAGCTGTTTTAAAACAGCTACTAACCATAGAATGAATAACACTTAACTGTATCATTAAGTGGTTTATGAATTTCCTCCTTTTTAAAAAAAAATGCAAGGCAAAACTAGCTTAGCTGGGTACCAACCACATAATGCTGATTGAGATAGAGCATGGTTACGGGATTGAGTTAGATTAGAATGAGTCTAGAGGAGGAAAACAAGACATAATTTGCTTTGGATAAAAGATCTACTGAGGTGATCTATTTATTTGTTTTCTCTTACTGTTTCTGGGCTTCTGGCTCTTATCCTCCAGCTCTCTCTGTGTTTTCATTGAGAGCTGTTGGAAGTACTGTGTTTAAAAAGAGGGGTAGGCATTATCTAATACAGAATTGCCTGACTAAAATTACTTTAATATACATATGTATGACTTAAGTAGAGTATTAGTAGTAGAATAGCTTGAAGGATAAAGTTGCTGACCAAAATGTTAATAACTGGTTCTATCTTGGAGTTATTCAGTATTGTATAATATTTAGTCACTGAGAGAAAGCTCCTGCAAGGGATACTGAGAATTGAGAAATTTGAGTCTGCCTTACATTTTGTTTCATTTGAGCATATGAAGCCTGCAATAATGGCCACTGTTAAAGAGGGCAGATATACACATGTACTAATTATCTGTGCAATTCTATGTTCTTTTATAGTTTTTCTTACCTTCTAGTGGTTTGTTATTTTTAAAAAAATTTTATTTATTTTTTAAGTAATCTCTACACCCAACGTGGGGCTGAGACTCACAACCCCAAGATATAAGTTGATGCTCAACTGACTAAGCTAGCCAGGTGCTCCTATTATTTTTTTAATAGATGCTACTAGAGGTGCCAGAGAATAAAATATTAGAGTCTTGTGACAAGGCAATATCATTAAAGAATTTATAAATTTTTAACTCTTTGTTTGCTTGCATTTTGTTGAATTAATACTTTTTTGGTGGTGATAAATTAGTTCCTGGTAACCACAGAGTTAAAGGTAGCATTTGGTTACAACGACCTAAAATGCTTAAAACTTTGGGAGGGAGTATTGTTTTTATTTGGGTTTTTGTCTTTACCTAACTAGTTGAAATAATAATAAGATTCTTTAAAATACAAGAATAGAAACATTTGAAAAGTTGCTGTTGGGAATATGCTGTTAAATCTTGTTAATGTATCTCTTGAAAGAAATTACTCTTAGAAAACTTATTTTATAAAATTTTTACTCTCTTAAATGGAAATAGAGTATTATATATAGAAATTCTTTTCTGAGACAAACATTAGAAGATTAAAGATACTGTATTTTTTTGCTATGTAATTAACCATGAACAATACATGAATTTAAGTTAGAGCTATTATGAAATAGAAGTAATTAGGAAAGTATGTGTCTGTATTGCCTGAGTTGGGACACTGCAGTCATGCTTAAGAGACTTTCTTTCATTTTCTGCTCTCAAGAATAAGCAGGATTTCTGTCTTACAGTAAGGTCAGTTCATGCTCATGTATAATGGAAATTCGCAAAAGGTTAAACTCTTTCTTCCTGAGTCTGTTTTTGATTTCTGAAGAAAAACAAAAACTTTTGCAATGTTCAGCCTGCCCAGAAAGTCTAAGGTGTTAGAGGATTCAATTTCTTAACTGTGTTGGTATTTTCTGAGTCAATCCAAAAGCTTCTAACTTTCCCCATTGTTTGGCATTACATTTTTCACTCTTGTTAACGTGAAAAAGAGAGAGAAATGTGCACTGTGATGTCATAAACTCCTTACATCATAGGCCTTTATCTATTTAGTAATTTTTCTCAAAGATCTTCGTTGAGTTTTAAGCCCCTAGCAGGAATCTGTCTTCATCTTATTTATCCATAAAATGGTTTTGACATTTTAAATCCTGCAGTGTTACCTTTATTCATTTCATAATACTGTATCCTTTTGGCATTATTTAATCCAATGATAAAAATTGAATTTAAAATAAATAAATAGCACTCAGTGTTTTTTCTTGCAAAATTTAAACTTTATGGATGTAAAAAATTTTGCAGTGTAATAATCAAAAATCATCAGACTAGTAGAGCAAGTTTGGTGCTGTTTGCATTTGTATGATTATTGGGTATCAAGCTTACACAGGATGATCACTTCGGTTTTTTATCATCTTACACTCAGTGATGTTCAATTTTTTTTTTCCTTTTTCTTTTATATTCCTTTTCAATTCTAAATAGTTTGTGGCAGCTGGAGATCACTTAGTCCACCACTGTCCAACATGGCAATGGTAAGTAATCTTGAGTGAGGAATAGAAATTAGTAAAAGGTATGACTTTATAATTGTGGCAGTTTGCAAAATGGATGAGGACATGAACCTTAGAATGACCAATTTAACTCTGTTCTAGTAGATTTTTCTGTTAAGCAGTGTGCCAGTGATACTTAAGGTAAAATAAAGGCTGACAAATTGGCTGTTATACCTATTTTGTATTGCTCTGTTAGAATAAAAGAGACATTTTTAAGATAAATGCCTTTACTTCTTCATTAGTACTCCCTCTCTCTATAGTGTCTAGGTCTGATTTTGTGGTGGATCTTTAAAAAATAATGTTCAAGAGTTTAATAAATTTGACCAGCTCATTTTTTTCAAACTGAAATGTTTACTGAATATTTTTATAACATTAATAAATGCAGATATTTTGCAAAGTCTTAGGTTTTTTAATCATAAGACCTTCTATAAGGTTCAAAAGTATGCTCGCACTTTAGGAATTAGTTGAAAGGGAAAGTTCATGATACTCATTAAAGGCCGTAACTGGAAATCTGCTGGTAATAGACTTTTTACATTTTTGTTTTTTTCATAAACTTTTTTTATTGTAAAAATTAATTTAAAAAAAGTAATTTAAGCAACTTAGCAGATCTCATAACATATTTTAAATATTCTGAATAATAAGAGAACGTTTTAAAACAAATGCTGTTTCATTATGTTTAAGTACTTAGGGTAAAACCACCTGACTGTGGCTGAAAAAGTGATCCCAATACTGGCAGAGCTATTTTAATTAGGCTAGAATTGTTTTGAATTATCATCTTGTTTGGATGTAAGTGGTTCAACTTGTTATATCCTTTTTTCTTTTTATTTTAATTCCCTTAGTGACACTTTTTCAGTTGTGGTTGAAAGGTACAGTTTTAATTTGGGAGCAGGGTTTCTAAATAAAGTTAGAACTGATAATGTTTTCCTTCGTATAAAGAGTTAAAACTATTTTAAGCCAAAGTTGGAACTCTCTTTTAGATGTGGCCTATTCTCTTCTCAATTTTTATATTTGACTCATAACCAAAATTGTTTTACAGCTTTTTATCAATTGCGCTTTATCTTTTAGAACATTATTTCTTAATGTACCAAGAAAGGCCAAAATGTCAGGTTCATTTATTTTTATGCCCTTGTTTTCCTTATATGTATTTCTGTTTCATATTTAAAACTGCGTTAATATCATAGCAGCTCTCTGATGATTTAGTAAGGGTGATTGATTTTTTTAAATTATAAATTGTCTATTAAAATTATATTTAGCTTTGTTCTAGCCTATAATTTTTATGTATTTGAAGTCAAATAGGTATATAAAATTTAAAATAACATCCATTTTATAAAAGGAACTAATTTAGGATTTTCTTCAATATAATAGATACACATTTCTTCAGGTTTCTTTGTGATAGTCCTTATTTGTCTAATTAGTTCAGACATATGATTTATAATATTGTTACAGGAATATGTGTATATGGACAGGATCTTTTTTTAGCAGGTAGTTTATAGTTTCACTTTATGAACTGTGATAGTTGAAATAATTTAGAACTCAGTTATACACTACTCCAGCGTCCGCACTTCTGGCTGAACTGGGGCCAAAGGAACAATTCATTTTATTATTTATTTATTTATTTATTTATTTAAGATTTTATTTATTTGACAGAAAGAGAGCACAAGTAGGCAGAGCGGCAGGCAGAGGGAGAGGGAGAAGCAGGCTCTCCGCTGAGCAGAGAGCCCAATGTGGGGCTCCATCCCGGAACCCTGGGATCATGACCTGAGCTGAAGGCAGACGCTTAACCGACTGAGCCACCCAGGCGCCCCGGAACAATTCATTTTAAACCAATGCTAGAAACAGGTTATTTCCATGTTACAGTTTTGTGTCTACAAGTGCCATCATGAGAGTATTGTATATTCTTCACTCAGAACTTCAGGCATTGCCATGTCATTATTGAATTTGACACTTGAGAATGGTTTAAAGAAGCCTAGAAGGTTACTAAGATAGTAGGTCATTTTCTGGCTTTATCTTGTGCTCGTATCTGTGGTTTAAACTTTAGACTGAAGCTTTGATAAAAGGCAGTAGACTCCAAGTTTTTTTCAGATGTTTGTGACAGATAACACATGCCACTCCAGCTCTGGCCAGTTCCATTAGGTGACCCACAGAAGAATCTTTGAACAAATTCTTAGTAAGATAGTCCAGGGTAGCTATGAAAAATCAGAAGTGGTATAGCTGGTCTGACCCACAGAGAGAGTAGTGTTTCAGAGCAGGAGCCCTGGATTCACTTGCTCTTCTATGTTCTGGTTTCCTGACCTTGAGCAGTCTGACTTCTTTAAGCTAAAATGGGGATATTAATATTACTCACCTCTTAGGGTTCTGAGGAGTAAATAAAAATAATGCATGTTAGAGTTCTAAGTAAACACTCAATGAAAGGGTTTTTTTTTCTGTTTTCAGTCATTATTTTTTATATCACCATCTTGCGATTCAAAGCATCTTTTTTCTCTCCGTTCCAATTTTAGGGATCTTGCCAACCACCTACTTTGTTATGTAATGTCCTACAGATATTTTTCTGCCTCTTCTTGATCTGAAGATGAGCAGTACTTGAGAATTAAAAGTCTGAGATTATACTCCCTAGGGAACAACATTTTCTTTTTGTTTAGAGGCAAACATAATAGTTGCTTAATAGTTCTATATTCTGTCTTTTTTATCTAATATTTAATTTAAATTCTCTTAGGTCTCTCTGCGTCTCTTAGTACGTTTCACTTATAATGCTATGCTCTTCCATGCCCTAACATACATCACTTAATGGCATCCTTCCAAAACTAGTCCTAAAACAATTTTCTCAGGAGTGTGGATTGTGTAGTTTTAATATTTACATGTGATATCTTCTGTTCTGTCTTTGCCTTTTAAAACAGTTCTTATGTTTTGGTGCTTTTTGCTCTTTTTAAAGGGCTACAGGGGAAGAATTGAAAGTGAAGGCATACCTACCAACAGGCAAACAATTTTTGGTCACCAAAAATGGTAAGAATTACGTTGCATATATTAGTGAATTTTGCACAAAGAGTTGTATTAAAAAAAAAACAAAAAACAAAAAACCTTAGCATTTTTTTAAAAGTTGTTTTTGAAGATTTATTTATTTATTTGAGAGAGAGAGAGCAAAAGAAGCAGGGGAGAATCTCCAGCAGACTCCTGCTGAGTGGGGAGCCTGATGTGGGGCTCCATCTCAGGACCCTGAGATCATGACCTGAGCTGAAACCAAGAGTCAGATGCTTAACCGACTGAGCCACCCAGGTGCCCAAAACCTTAGCATTTACTGATCTTAATTTATGCTTGAAGCCATACAGAAATTTGGAAATTTGATGAAACTCTGGGTTTTCTATTGCTAGAGTATTTTTTTCTGTATTTCATTTTTACCTCCTTCCTTTTTGTCACTACTTTTTGCCAAAAAGGTCTAGTTTTAAGATGTGGAGGGAAAGGGCCCAAGCAAATTTGGAATTTGGAATTTTGATTGCCTTTTTTTAAAGTTGACTTCATAATTATAAACTTTTTGGTTATTTGATTTTGATCTTCTTTAGACATAAACATTTGTCATGAAAAATGAAATTGATACTACCTTTGACATTTAAAAGTTCCAAGCTAAAGATTGTGTCTTTGAAAGATTGCCTTTAGGAACAAAAAATGTTTTTGAAACTGCTAGTTTGTCATTTATGAAGTTAATTTTGAAAACAGCATCAGAAGGTTGAGTCCCTATCTAACCACATAAAGTGCATTGATTTTTGTCCTAATTTATCTATTAACAGAAAGGGAAAATACATATAACAAATCAGTTTTTTTCTTTCCTACAGCATATGTTTTATTAGAATTGATCATTCATATCCTGCTTTTTTTTTTTAAATCAAGAGGTTAATAGCCATTTCATCATGTTTTTACATTATAATTGTTAAGTTTTAGGCTTATATGAATAATACCTGTTAATTGACACATATACTGTATGAAAAACTTGGCTCCAATATTGTGTAAGATGGTAAAATGTAGCAATTTAGTGAATTTTACACTGGCTTATCCATTATGAATAGCTGGAACTTAAATAAGAATTATGAAATACATATTAAAAGTTACTATAGCATTGCAAACTGGAGGTCACCTCTACCACCCCTGAGAATGACAGGTGGTGCCTTCCTGTTTTGAGAGTAAAGCTGTTAAAATAAGGTATTCATTAGCCTAAAGTTGAACAATGTTATGTCTGGCTCTAGCCTGCTGTTCTTCACAGACCATCAGGGTAAAGAATACATAGAAAATTTCCAGTAGAGCCTTTCTATTTGTGTTCTAACAAAGCCATTAGGGAAAGATAAATGTGGTCATTAATGTGTCTGTGGACTGCATACAACTCTTTAATCACTTTTATTAGAAGTGAAATATAATATTTCCTTAAAATGGACTAAACTGTCTCTTTTTTCTAATAGATTTATAGGAAGCAGATTATGTGCTAGTAACTGTGTTTGCCATTTATTTTATAGTGCCATGCTACAAGCGGTGCAAACAGATGGAATATTCAGATGAATTGGAAGCTATCATTGAAGAAGATGATGGTGATGGGGGATGGGTAGATACTTATCATAACACAGGTAAGAGGAAAATAGAAGACCATATATTAGTTTAAATTGTTTTAAATGTTTTTACAATCTTTTATTACAGCGTTGATTTAAAAACAACAAAAACAAGGGATACGTAAGGTACAGTTGTCCCAATAGACTTTTATCTGAAAAGAAGCAGGAAGACAAATTGGAAAAAAAGAAAAAATGCCCTTGGAGTATACCAAATTTCTATAGTACTGCTACTTCAGTTGCAAATTGAAAATACCCATATCATTTTCTTTATTTCTAAAGAAAGAAAGACAGAACTGCTGCATAGGCATACTACTTTGCTTTAGAATTCCTTATTTACATGTCATTCCATTGCTGGATGATAAGCTTCAGGACAGGAACTATATGTATGTTTATTTTACTCAGAGAGCTGGCATTTAGAAGTATTTAATATTTATTTGTTGAATGACTATAAGAGGATTGTAAGGACCACACTCCTTAGGTTGAGAGTCACTCACTGTTGAATCCTCAGTATCTGACATAGTATCTGGTACAGAAGTTGTTCAATAAATTTGTGTTAAAAGAATTGACTAAATTCAAGCCTTTTGTAAGTGTATGTTTGCAGAAGTTATTTATAAGCCTGAAGATGATTTTTTATTTCAAGTCCTAAAAACCTATTTTGCCACTATATTTATATAACTATGTAAATGCAAATTAGCGTATGCTGCTATGCTATATTAACTTAGCCATGCTAACTTAGCGATACTAACTTAGCTATAGCAGCGTATACTAATCTGCATGCACATAGTTATATAAATATAGTTATATACAATACTATAAATTAATGATAGTACTTAATTATAATAGTTAATTTATGTAGTTATATAAATGCCATTTATGACTTAGTTTTAATGAAGAAAATGTGTTCTAAGTTTAAATCTAGAATACTAAAAAATAAGTTTTCTCCCATGAAGTCCTGGAAAGTAGCAGGTATATCAGAAGTAGTACTAGAGCAAGGTTTCTTAACCTTAGCCCTACTAACATTTTGGACTGCATGATTCTTTGCTGTAGCATTTTCTGTACATTGCAGAATGTTTAGCAGCATGTCTGGTCTCTGCCCACTAGATGCCAGTAGTATTCACCCAGTTGTGATAACTCAAAATGCCTGCAGACAGTGCCAGATACTCCATAAAGGGCAAAATTGCTGCCATCGGCTGAGACCCACTGCAGTAGTCAGAGAACTAAGTAATCTGCACAGGAAAAAGTACCTTGTTAGGTCAGTTTTCCCTCTACTTTTAAAAAGGGACATTGTCATGTGTTTATGATGATATAGGCATAGATTCAGGACTTGGGCTTCTTGATTTGAAACTTGTTTGTTTCTTGATGAGTTGAGTTTAACGTTAATGTCAAGGCCTTGGGAAAATAGTGGATTGAACAACTTTTTAAAATGATTTAAAGAATCATCCTATTTCCCCCACTGAGAGTGCTGGTAGATGGACTTCTTTATTTTTTGATCTTTCCAAATTTGTTCAGGTGCTCTGCTTTAGTGTTCCTGTGGTGGAAGATGTGGGCAGCACATGTGTAGGAAACTGTTGACTAACTAGAGCCATTAGTTATAGCACTGTGTTTCTGATGTCAAGTAAATGACTTATTTTGATGTCTGGTTGTGTTCAATTCCATAATCACTAACTCAAAATCTAGGTGCATATTTACAGAGGCATTCGTTACGGAGATAAATAGGTATCAGTGTGATTGGATTGATGAAAATCTATTATAGAAATTCAACTGAAAAAATGTTTGCCCTGCTGGAGAGATATCCTTAGAATTTTAGTTTAAACTATATTGTGATTTGATTAAAACACTGCTTCCAGTTGACTTAGAAGGTCTTGTGCCTGGTTCCTTATTCACCTCAGTTCTCTTTGCTTCATCTTTACTTCTCATAGGTTTCTTTTATTTCTCTTAGCCCTTGTATTGGTCATGGTTCTCCAGAGACACAGAAAAATTGATGTATATATAGATACAGGTATTAGGTGTAGATAGATTTATTTTGAGAATTGGCTTACATGATTGCAGGAGCTAGCAAGACTTGGCAGTTTATAGGACGAACTGGCCAACAGGCTGAAGACCCAGATAAGGGTTGATTGTTTCAATTCAAGTCTGAAGACAGTCTGAAAGCAGAATTCTTTCTTTTTACTGAGTACCTCAGTTTTTCCTTATAAGGCCTTCAACTGATTGGATGAGGCCCACCCACGTTATAGAGAGTAATCTACTTTATTCAGTCTTTGGACTTAAATGTTAAAATCTACAAAATAACCATCACAGCTACATCTACATTGGTATTTAACTGAGCATCTGGACATGATAACCTAGCCAAGGTGACATAAAATTAACCATCACAGTTCTTGAGAATATTACCCTCATTAGAGTCATTTGAGCTTTTCTTTTCTTTGCCAGTATGTCCTACTTTTAGAAGAGTCTAGTTTAGTGGAATACTACTACATTATTATATTGAGATGGATTGAAGAGGTTTATTTTGTTTGTATCTAAGTACTGGATTCATTGATTGTTTTGTAATACCAATTCAGCTTGCCAAGATTTGGGTTTTATTGTTATGAAATAATTATATTTATTATGTAGTAATTTGTAGAAAAACTATGAAGTAAAAGCTTTATGTTAGAGCTGTGGATTGTGACATTTTCTGTTAGTGAAAGTAAGTTACTAAGTTTGGAGATATTGAACAGGTATATAAAGGTTTTAGAAGATTAACAAAGGGGCAAAGCTTATTTTGTATGTAGGGTGTTTTTTTTTCCTCTTTAGTGTATTTCATCCTGTTGAACTATTGAATTAAAAACACTGACATGTATTTTGAATTAGAAATATTATTTAGCTGACTTGTGGTGCCCCTTCTGCATAGTGCCACCTTCATTGAGACAAGTAGGTTCAAAGTAGTTGCTTAATGAGGTGTAGTGGACAGAACATTGAACTAAAAGTTAGCACATGTGGATTTGAATCCCAATTTCTTCACTAACTGTGAGACTCAAGTTATTTCATCTTTGGAGACTTTATTTCGTCATAGGGAGAAATGATTTATTAATTACCTCAAAGGATAGTGTTTGTAAGGCTGAAATAAGCTATGGAAACAATAAAATAGAAAGCCCCATATAAATGTGGTGTGGTATTACTACTTCTGGATGTCCTAGATTTCTGAAACAAATAATATTAATATCTTCTTGAGAAAATTTCAATGTGGTTTTGAATAAAAATAAATATGAGTCCTGTAGTCTCCTAATGTGTTCACTTTGAGAATGAATATGTTGGGTAGAGACTCACACTGGGAGAGTAAATGAGGAATAATAAATGAGTGATAGAGTAGAATAATCATGGTAAAATATCACATTGGTATTTTTTTTTTTTTTTCAATTTGAAAAGTGTTTTTGGTGTTATTCATTTTAGAGTTCATTTGTAAAATTCTACTAACATTGTCTCCTCCTTTCAGAGAAGTTGTGAGAATTTAGGTAATTTTAAGTGCTTATATGTTGCTTGAATCTGGTAAATAGAAGATGTTTACAATTTCAGTTATTTTTTTAAATTTTAAACAGGTATTGCAGGAATAACTGAAGCAGTTAAGGAGATTACATTGGAAAGCAAGGTACTGGTTAATTAGTTACATTTCTAAATTTCAATGACAGTTATTTGCATATATATATATTCTTCTTCAACCTGATTATTTTCAAGCTTTTTAAAATTCCAGTTATTTTTTTCTTCTCTCACTTTCCTATATCCAAACTGCTGCTGCCCAATGCTTATTTTCCTTAGTCTGTTGTATGGTTAAAAAAATTTTTTTTGAGATTGTAACTACTAATTTTCACCAATTGGGAAGGCTACTAGGCTAGTTTAAAAGAAATAGCTTTTTATTCTTAAGTGTAAGTACCAGATGTTCTGTAAATCGAGGTTTTTGAGGTTTATGTACTTGCTGATTAGATGCTAATGATAATATTGTTTAAATTTTATAGTTTCTTAATTCACTGCTATTTGGGGTGGAAGTTTTTGTTTTTGAAAATTTAAAGGTAAACTTTAACATCATCCAAAATACATATTTTGACTGAGTGGAAGCTAAATCAGTTAGGTTTTATTGTATGATTTATTGTGGGGAGGGGAGTAAAAATCTATAACTTGGTGGAATTTTTCTGATTGAAAATTTTCAGTTAATTCAGACTGTCTGTATTATATTAGCTTTTCATTTCTAGAGAGAAAATGATTGCAGTTGTTTTCATATATTTGTTTGAAAAGAATACAAAATGCCTTTACCCTTACCTTTTCTTAATTATTTTTTAACAGATCTCTTAAGAGGATAGGAAATTTGGACAGAATAATTGAGTTTCTTTTGTCCTTATAAAACATTTAGTATAAGAGTTACTAGTTTAAGATACTCTCTTCTGTGTGTTTTTGTCATTTGGATCTTTTGGGATTTATAACTGGGTCTTAACAGGAAGTGTTAGAAACTAAAACAAGTTTTTTGTTTTTTTTTTTTCAATGTACAATTTTATGCTTGCTGGGGATTAAAGTTCACTTCATTGGCCTGAAAATTCATTCTTTTGAAATTCTACTTTTTGGAGAATTTGAACGACTAAAGAGAAATCACCAAAATGGCTTTTGCTACTTTAGAAAATCTTGTTTACTCCAGCCATTAACTGTATATGCTTCACACTTTGGGAATGATAAATGGCAGAGTAGTGTGGATAGCATTTTTTGATAGGTTTATGGTAATTCAAGAATTTTTTAAAAATGCAGTAATGGTTAATATGGTACTTGTTATCCCACTTAACATCCTTATGTCAGACTAAAAGATGACTCCTTAGAATAATGTACAACTTGAATGTCTTTCCTGTCATTTCCTATTTAATATAGAATTTACATTATTTTTTATAATTTCTTACAATACTTGTTGTCCAGACCCAAGTATTAATCTTTCTTGTGGATTTCTACTGTTTTACTGTTTCAGGTATGATCACCATAACATCAACATGATTAAAATTTCCCTTAATGATCAGTTTGTTAGATATTCGCTCATCTAATAATTATCTAGATACTATCTTCTAGTATCACATTTGGGTGTGGTAATGATAAGTAATTTAAGTAAAAATTAAAAGTAATTTAAGTTTCTAGTGGTAAATAGAAATCTTCTCTAAGTAAAACTGTAAATTGGGTGAAACTAAATGTCCAGTTTTTTATACTTTACTACATTGACTTCAGATTTTTAGAATATTGATCTTGTAAAATGATAATTGTATATTAGGCTTGTCTTTGGTTAGTATTATTCTTTTATTCTAGTGCAAATATAGCTTAAAAATTTAACTGAAATCTTACATATTATAGTAACTGTAAAGTCTTGATAATTTTACTTAAGTCATCCTAAAATATTGTTAACAAATTAGACTATGTTTGATTTATAATAATAAATGTGATTTATAAATATATACATTTTTTCTCCTTTAAATTATATGATAAATTAAAACTCTGAACCAATTTTCTAATATTGGTGTTATTCCTTTTAGAGTTCATTTGTAAAGTGCTACTAACATTGTCTCCTCCTTTCAGAGAAGTTGTGAGAATTTAGGTAATTTTAACCAATGAATTGGTTAAATAATACTATTTTTTGGAAGTGCAAAAATCGTTAAATTTAGCTTAGATGATTCTTGGTGCTTCTATGATACGTTTTATATTTTTCAGTCACAGCACTTAGCACATCACTTTTAATATTTGGTTTATGGATTTGTTATCTCCACTGGAGTAGGAGTTTCTTGAGGATAAGAACTGTCTTTACGACTCTTATTTTCACAGTGGTTTGCATTGTGCTGACACATGAGTGTTCAGTGTTTGAACTAATGGACATATTTAAGTGACTTTAACTATAATTAATTTCAAAGGACAGTATAAAACTTCAAGATTGCTCAGCAATATGTGAGGAGGAGGAAGAAGAAGACGAAGGAGAAGCTGCAGATATGGAAGGTATGTTCTAGATTTTCTTTAATCACACTAGAATGTTGATTTTGGAATATTTGTAATTGATGTGGATAAGAATTGTACTCCATTTTTAGATTTTAACATTTAACAGCTTAGAGAGGATTTTATTTAGTTTAAATTTAGTTAGTGCAGAACGTACCTTGGTCTTGGACTGTTGGGCTTTACCTAGGACATAGTCTGTATAGCATTATTTCTAGTGGGATACATCTTAGTCATAAATCTTTAATGCAGTTAAAAGTTCGAAGATACAGATTCTTAAGCTAATTCTTTTTTTTAAGATTTTATTTATTTATTTGACACAGAGAGACATGGCGAGAGGGGGACACAACCAGGGGGAGCGGGAGAAGGAGAAGCAGGCTTCCCACCGAGCAGGGAGCCCGATGCGGAGCTTGATCCCAGGACGCTGGGATCATGACCTGAGCCGAAGGCATACGCCTAACGACTGAGGCACCCAGGCACCCCGTCTTAAGCTAATTCTTAAAAACTATTTCAGAGCAGAACAAAGTTTGCTCATGTATTATGTATTTTCTTTCTTTTTTTTTGACCAAATAGATAGAATTTATGGTGAGATAGAAATGTTTTATAGCATGCAGTACTGGAAGATGGTGCCAAGTGGAGTTGAAGCACCATAATAGCAAGTGGTGTTTGCTGATGAGGAGGTGATGCATAGCCACATTGCCAGAGTAGCCATGGCTCAGAGTACCTTTTCTTTTGTTTGTTTGTTTGTTTGCTTGAGAGAGAGAATACAAGTGAGGGGGAGGGGCAGAGGGGAAGGGAGAAGCAGGCTCCCCACTGAGCAGGACTCGAGGCTCAATCAGATCCTAGGACCTGGGGATCATGACCAGAGCCAATGGCAGACACTTAACCAACTGAGCCACCCAGGCGCTCCTTTTTTTTTTTTTTTTTTTAATTTTATTTATTTATTTGACAGAGAGAGACAGCGAGAGAGGGAACACAAGCAGGGGGAGTGGGAGAGGGAGAAGCAGGCCTCCCGCAGAGCAGGGAGCCCGATGCGGGGCTCGATGCCAGGACCCCGGGATCATGACCTGAGCCGAAGGCAGACACTTAACGACTGAGCCACCCAGGCACCCCGACCCAGGCGCTCCTTAAAGTACTTTTCAGTTTTGTTTCCTAAATTACTTTTAAGCCCTCATTAAACCTAGCTGTATATCTGTTCCTGAATTCTAGTAAGAGTTTCGTCCTTATTTTTATGGTAAACTCCCATCCTTTGAAGAAATCAAAATGAATTACTTGTAACCAAAATTGCTTACAGCAATCTCACATACCATCTCTGTGATCAACTTCATATCTAAACCTCCAGTCCAGATCTCCTGAACTTCAAATGTACTTGTTTATTTTCACTTGCACCTGAATGTCTTATAATTGTCAGCACCACCTCCTTGCACAAATACTTTCTGCATTCCATCTGTCTGAACTGTGTACAGTTACCCAAGCTGGGGTGGGGGGTAGGAAGAATAGTATGAGTAAAGCACTGTTTTTAGAGTACAAGCTGTGGGACTGCCTTAAATATCTGACAGCCTTTTATTGTGTTTGTTACATTCCCTTGGAAAGAGCTAAAGAAAAAATTGCTTTATATGGAATTTTGCTTAAAAAAATAGTGTTGATGGTATAGCAGGTAATATAACAATTAGTATAACGGGCAATTTTCATTCCTTACTCAACAAACATTGGGCACTATAGTATCTATATATCAGGTACTGTTCTTGGTGCTAGAAATAAAGCAGTAGACAAGATTTTATGGAGATTATATTTTAGTTATGGGAGACATACAAAAACTAATAGATAAGCAATATATATGCTATATTAGATGGTTATAAGTGTTAGGGAGAAAAATAAAGGAGGGGAATGAGACAGAGAGTCTTGGGGAAGGATGAGTGTTATTTTAAATAGGTTGGTCAAGAAAAACCTAATTGAGAACATGAGTTTTAAGTAAAGCCTGGCAGGAAGTGAGTGAGCAAGCTATTTGGCTATCTAAGGAAGAGTGCAAAGGAGCTGAGGTAGGAGCTTATGTAGTATATAAAATACTGTGAGCAGGGGCGCCTGGCTGGCTCAGTCAGTAGAGAATGTGACTCTTGATCTCAGATCATGAGTTCAGGCCCCACATTGATTGGGTTTAAAAAAATAAATACCCGTTCAGAGAGGAGCAAGCGCAGAGGCGGAGAAGTAAGGCGTGGAGTCAGTGAGATAACCTTGGGACCAGATCATGTAGGGCCCTGGCTCCAACTCAGTGAGATGAGAAGCTATTAGAGGGTTTTTCTAAGTAGAAAAGAACTTAGAATGAGATTTAACATTTTAACAGAATCACTGTGAGTGCTGTATTAAGAACAGATAGAAGAGGTTTAGGGACAATAGTTAGGCTATTTTGATAATCTAGGCAAGAAATGATAACACCTTGGGCTCAAGTGGTAACATTGAAAGTGATGAAAAACAAAATTCTGGACATATTTTGAGGGTAGGGTCAAAAGGATTTGCTGCTGAGAGGGAGTAGCATGAGAGAGACAGAAATAGTCAAGTGTGACTCCAAGGATTTTTGACAGTGTCTGGAAAGGTGTCTTAACTGATACAAGGAAAATTACAGGACCGAATCGCTTTGGAGGGGGAGTTTGGGAGTTCAGTTTTGGATGTGTGCTCTTTGCAATGTACATTAGTCATTCCAGTAGAGCCATAAGTAAACGAATATCCAGGTTTGTAGCCAGGGATAAATTTGGGAATTATTAGCATTTAAAGCCATTAAGACTAGATGAAATCATCAAAGGAGTAAGTGTGGATAGAGAAAAGACAAGGTCCAACAACTGAGCCCTTGGTTACTGCAGTGTTTAAAAAAGTTGAGATGAAGAAGAATCAAGCATAGAAGATAGTAAAGGAGAAGCCAGTGAGGTGAGAGACAAAGGCAGGAAAATACAGTATTTTAACAGCCAAGGAAAGTGTTCAAACAAGGTGGGACTAAATCATCCAGATGGCCCTGTGAGAGATCAGTTAAGATGAAAACTGGGAATTTACCCCTGAATTCAGCAACATGGAAGCCTATGAGGATTTTAATGAGCACATTTTATGCAATTATATAAATAGCCATGTGTATGCGATGGAGTCACTGAGTGTTCTACAGTACCATTATGCTGTTCAGTATTGCTGATAGGCTGTAGTTTGGACCAGGCGTTGGCAAGCTAACTTTCTCTGGCTCTGTCAGTTAAAGAATCTGCTGCTTTGGAGGTGTAAAATTCGGTCCCTCATACCTGTTCAATATCTTCAGTTAAAAGCAAAAGCCCAGGTTTTGAATGATACTCTGAAGTGATACATAGTTTGGTTTGGGAAATTTTTTTGAACTTGATTAATCTTCTGTTGCTTTTTATAACAGAATATGAAGAAAGTGGATTGTTGGAAACAGATGAGGTTTGTAAATTGAGTTTTTAGTTAACTTTTAGTGAATAAACTTGGGGATTAGTATTTACAATAGTATCTTGATATTTCCAATAAACCTTTATTTATATGTTTGCATAGGTTATAGCATATAATATTTTAGCTTTGGCTTTTAAGTTCTGTTTGTTTTTGAAAAATATAGAGTGGGGAAAAATATTTTCTAAATTGTCAGATTCATACAGATTTTATTTTATTTATTTATATATATATTTTTAAAGATTTTATTTATTTGACAGAGAGAGACACAGCGAGAGAGGGAACACAAGGGAGTGGGAGAGGGAGAAGGAGGCTTCCCACTGAGCAGGGAGCCCGACGGTGGGGCTCGATCCCAGGACTCTGGGATCATGACCTGAGCTGAAGGCAGACACTTAATGACTGAGCCACCAGGTGCCCCTGTCAGATTCATACTGATTTTAATGGGTGTAAATTTCTCCCCCTATTGCCAGGCTACCCTAGACACAAGGAAAATAGTAGAAGCTTGTAAAGCTAAGACTGATGCTGGAGGTGAAGATGCTATTTTGCAAACAAGAACTTATGACCTTTATATCACTTATGATAAATATTACCAGACACCACGACTATGGTTGTTCGGCTATGATGAGGTAAAAACAGAAAATATATTTTAATGTAAATGTTTTAAATTGTTGGATTTAATTCCTTTGTCATTTGGTCTGTGGGTATATATTGTGGCCTTCTAAATTTTAGTAATCATTTGTTTTACAATTTCATGATTAATACTGAACTTGATTCTTATTTTGAAGAAACTATGAATTATTCAGTGTGACAGTAACACTATAAAGAATCAAACAGAAATAATCTGTTACATATTTATTGCTTGGTCCCAGAGGGTTATTCCTTCAAAATAAAAGGGAAATTAAACTTAGTTTGTTGTATTAAATTTGTTGAATATACAAGGAGGCATTTATAGAATGATCATATTGGCATGTGTGGTTTTTTCTTTAAGACAGAAAACCCTTTTTTTTTTAAAATTCATTTACTTAATTGAATTAAAGGATAACAAATAAATTTAACTTGTTTTAACCTGTCATTCTTATGATTATGAATGGGAAACAAAAAAGTGAAACAAAATAGACCCAAAATATGAGTTGTAAAGTTATAAAATGCTTTGACAGCCATGAACTTGCTTTTTTTGTGGGATCTTTATTGCATTAGATGGTGGCTGAAGTCACATAGCATTGATGTAGAGACTTCTCCTCTCTCCTCCGTTTATTGGCATAAATGGATTGTAAACTCTCCCCCAAACAGTCTGGTGATTCTAAATAGTCTGGAATTCTATATTACAAGTGATACGGGAGGTGGGGATAAATGTATTTTAAACATGGAAGTTTAGGTCTAAAAGTTTTTAAACTGATTTCAAAACATTTTTTTATTGTTTCAGCAAAGACAGCCTTTAACAGTTGAACACATGTATGAAGACATCAGTCAAGATCATGTGAAGAAAACAGTGACCATTGAAAATCACCCTCATCTCCCACCACCTCCTATGTGTTCAGTTCACCCCTGCAGGTGTGTGTGTGTGTGTGTGTTGTGTGTTGTGTGTTGTGTGTACTTCATGGATTTATTACTTGGCAATCTGTAAACAAAGTGCCCTAACAGAAAAAAATATAATAAGCAAATACAGTTCTCTTTCGTCTTTCTTAGAAATGTTCTTGTGTTTAAATGTATAAGAAAAGGGAAAAGGTCACCAATTTAAGTTTAATTCATTAATATTTTTTGCTCTCTTTGTGTGTTTAATTATAGTATAGATCTTTGTGATTCTACTACTATTTTTAGCTCCAAGAATAATTTAGAAGATGCTTTTTAGATTTTAAAAAATACCCATCATTTAGACATGGTTTGCTCTGTTGTGTTGTAGCCTTCTATGAATGTGGAGTATGAAGTTATCCTTGTGTTTTTCTCTGTGACCTATTTATCTCTTTTTATTGGTTAGTGAAGAGAGATGTATGCAGAGTTCTCTTTTCCTTTACTCTTCAGTTGAGAGATGTTCAGCCCTACTAAATCAAGTGCATTTTATAATTTGGGATTTTCTTTGTATTATTGTGTTTCTTCAGGGCCAAATAAGTGAAGCTGAGTCTGTATGCATGATTTGTTCAGTTATTTCTAATGGGTAGCTTTCACAAAACATTGAGAAATTCTGGTAACAATATTTTTGAGATGAAAACTTTAGTATTCCATTGACTAATTGGATGCAACATTCTAGTTTTTAAAAATTCTTTAATATTTTCTTCTCATTTTTTACAGCCTCTTGATTCTCAAACTTTATTGTATAGAAAGCCTAGTTCATTTTTCCAGTTTTTTTAATGTCAAGAGTTGTTAATATTGCTAACTGAAAAGTAATTCAAGAGCCATTAGTTTTAGTTTTGTATTATCTAAAAAGTTTTCATTTTATTTTGTCAGCTCCTGTGGTGGTTTGAGGTTTCAGGACAGTGCTTATCAAACTGAGGCATGTCTCTCTCTTGCTTGTAAATTTTAGTCTGGAAAAGAAATAAGTAGTTTAACTGGTAATTAATGTGAAACATTTTAATAAATGACTTATGCAATGTAATGTAAATAGGGCAAAAAAGTTGGGGGTCTATAAGATGAGATTTCAAGTACATTTTAGGCCTTGCCGTGGGCCATCTCAGGTTATGTTTTTGGATTCGCAGAGTTAATACTTTTACTCTCATCTTCTAAGTTGACAGCCTCTGTCATGAAGTTTATATTCATAAAAACTGAAGCACCATTATTTAAGCCAGAGTGTACCTAAAAGATCATTCTTTTGTGCACGGCCTTTTTCTCAGTTCATATACTTAGGCAATTACTTTGATATCAGAGGAAAGACACTGGTTGACTATGAAGAGATTTGTGGATTGGACAAAAACTTCAGATAAACATATTTCTTTATATAAAGCCAAAAAATTATTTCTAAATAGAATCAGATAGATGGTGCCTGGGTGGCTCAGTCGGTTAAGCGTCTGTCTTCGGCTCAGGTCATGATCTCGGGGTCCTGGGATCAAACCCTGTGTCAGGCTCCCTGCTCAGTAAGGAGTCTGCTTCTCCCCTTCCCTCACCCTCCCGCCATGCTCTCATGCGCTCTCCTCAAATAAAAAAAAAAAAATCAGATAAATTTTACAGTATGCATTAGGACAGATTAAAAATATATAACTTGGTGACTCTAACCAACTTAGCTTTTTTAAAACCCAATTTAGGCTTATTATCTGTTAAATATTTGAATAGTCAAAATCACAGCATTATAAATATGTCTGTTTTTTTTGATTAGCTGTTACCATGTAGCTTTTTTGAATTTTCCTGGTCTGATTCTTGTTTGTTTCTTAGAGCAGAGAGCTTTTGCTCTGCAATTACACCCTGGCATGATTTCCCTTTCTCTGGCTTTCTGCTGCCCTAACCACCCCCCAACTCTTTTCCACCCCTGTTATAGGGAAACTAGTGCTATTGTATTTTGACTACCATAGCTTTTAAAATTTAGCCTGTGTTCCAATAAAACTGTACATGATTCTCAACAATCTGACTTGTTGGGGAGTAGGGAGGAGAATATTTTATAATTATTATGTTAAAATTAAATCACAGACACTAATAAGGTAGATTTCTTCACAAAAACTTGCTTTTCCAATTTTGATCTAATTACTCTATGCTAATAAGATTTATTTGTTCTTTTGCTTTTAGGCATGCTGAGGTGATGAAGAAAATCATTGAGACTGTTGCAGAAGGAGGGGGAGAACTTGGTGTTCATATGTATCCTTACCTATATATGTCATTAGTGGCATATTGGCTCCTAGGATTTTTTTTTTTCTCTTTGGAAAATGTTGGTACAGCGTTAGTGCCACAGTACCTATAACTTGTTTTAGCCCCTCATATGTGGAAGTCTTAGTAGGACTTTATTTGGAAAATGTTACATTGTGATAGTTCTGCTTTGTTCAGTTGGTTAGCACATGTCCCTGTGTGCACCAGTCAGCTCTGCCTTGTTCCAGAGCCTTCGATCAATAGGTACTTTTCTAGGCAGCAGCTTGTTGCTTTTTGTTTGTCCAAGAGGCAATGGCTAAGAGCATGTGAACATAAAACCATTGCTCTTGATGGAAAAGAAACTCAGTGGGCATAATTTATTGATGAAAGAAGAGTAACCTACTAATTTAGAAGATAACACATGAGTATCTTTTCCCTAAGTATATTTCCAATTTAACTGTTATAAAAAATGTGCTTCCCATCAGGTAAAGTTAGGTTGTGTCATTCTGAGGTCTCTGAAGCAAAGAATTCAGCTTAACAAATAGGTTAATTAAAAAGTAAAACACACAAAGTATATTTCAGATATTCTTAAAGTATAGTATTTTTATTTTTCTCCAGATAAAAGCACCCTTCTTATATCTTACTATGGTTTTCCTACTTAGTTCTCTGTGGTTGACAAGAGGAATAAACTAAGTAAACTGCTGGATCCTGAAATACATGTACCCATAGCATGGATTCATCAATAGCAGCCAAAATCAATGATTTAAATGCCAAATAGTCTGAATTAATCTAGTGCTAGGTTGATGTTACACTTGGTAGTTCATGCCACTCAGTGTTAGATGTAGACTGAGGGGTCACTGCTGTCTTGGAATTACAAATAACTTAAGAATTGCTAATAAAGTGTGTTCCTCAGAGGAACACTGGTCCTGTTTGGCATTAAAAGAAACCAAGAACTTTTGGGGGGAGACGAACCATGAGAGATGATGGACTCTGAAAAACAAACTGAGGGCTCTAGAGGGGAGGGGGATGGGAGAATGGGTTAGCCTCGTGATGGGTATTAAAGAGGGCACGTTCTGCATGGAACACTGGGTGTTACACACAAACAATGAATCATGGAACACTACATCAAAAACTAATGATGTAATGTATGGTGATTAACATAACAATAAAAAATTTAAAAAGAAAAAAAAAAAAAGACCAAGAACTTTTAGTCTAAACCAGATTTACTCCTGAAACCCCATGATGCATAACTTGAGCGTTCATCTCTCTTATAGGCTAGGTAGCAACTTGGAAGACTCTGTGTTTAATAATTGACTCATCAATTCCCCCAATAAAAATTAAGCTCTTAATATATCTAAGAACAGTGGAGCATAGGGAAAAAATCAGGATTTTATTAAAGACAGTCCGTTGTAGCAGATTCTATGGCAAGTACATGCACTAACTTAAAATCAGTCCTTACAGAGGGTTTCCACTTTATTTTTTTCTCTTTTGCTTCAGTGCTTTTATATTCTTTACCCTGCCTTATTTTCTAACATACCCTAGCAAACTAACAGGCAGTAAAGGAACCATTTCCCACTCATTTAAATATGCACAACCTTGTCCTTATTTTTATATCAAAATAATTGGGCTCCTGTGAATTCATACTTATTAGGAAGTTTGACATTCAAATATTAAATGGGAATGGGTCAGGCAGTCTTAAAGTTACAGAGAACCTCATGTTGAATAGAAACAAACTTGCATGAGTGAATTTTTTTAATATACTTGATTTAAGATTTTGTCTTCCATATTTTTTCTGAGAAATCTGCTTAATAAGGATAATTACAGTGTTAGCTTAAATCATAGTACCATTTACCAATCTGTTTTCCTTAGCTAAAGACCTATAGGTATCTTCTAATTTTCTTGAAGTTTGTACAAGCTGTCATTCCAACAATAGAATATGACTACACAAGACACTTCACAATGTAACGAAGAGAGCATAGAATCTATCCTAATTATTGTTTCTGATTTTTAAACAATTAACCCATAGATGTGACCATTGACCATATTCACCAATATGTACAATTTCTCTAATAAAGAGACTTATATGTTTATGCATTAAATAAAAAAAGTTCCACTACCAGACTTATTTGTTTAATAAAAATGAGTGTAAAGAAACTGTTCTTGCTTCTTATCAAAAGGTGGTAACAGTATTTTCTTTAAATAAGAACTCTGAAAGTGAAGAAGTATCTCCTATAGGATGATAAAAGAGTATTTTTGGTTCACATTTATGAGGAAGGCATTAAATGTGTTGTAATAGTATGAACTAGGGCTAAAAATTACTGCAGGCTAGACATACCTTCCCTTTCTCTTCCTCTTTGTTCTTTTTATTTTCTGTCCCCTCCCCTCTTCCCAAGTCTCCTACCTGCTAATGGCCAATATTTATGAAGAACTTACTGTGTGGCAGGAAATGTGCTAATACTTACCTTGTTTCCTGATTATTTTAGTAAGTTGATACCACCAAAATTACTTAAGGATTCAGGAATATTTCTCCTGTTGTGATTGCATAGTAGAATATTAGCCTTTAAAAGGATCTCTTTGTTGTATCACATCAGTGTGTAGATCTGGATGTAGGAGTTCAGAAAGGTCAAATGCATTCTACTGTGGGACAGTCAAGCAGTAGGACCAGAGTGCCCATTAGGACATTCTCTTTATACATTGCCTCTTGTCCCTCCCTGTTCCTTCTATTCTGCACATAATGGAGTGACTAACCTTGCTTTTAAGGAACCTTAGTTGTTGTTTTTTTTTCCTCTTATCATCATTCAAGAATACTCTCTTTACTTTCAGTGCCCCTTTACTTTTCTCCTTTTACCAATTGTAGTTCAGTTCTTGTATTGCAAGGAAGTCTCCATAATAGAGATAATGACCAAGTCAGAGTTAAGGTGCTGATACAGTGTAATATGGAGATACAAATATGGGCATCATACTCTAATACACTTTAGGTATCCTGCATGCTCATAAAGCCAGCAAGCTCTCTTCCTTTCTTTATTTAATCTTCCAAACTGATTTTACTGATACATTCTGGTTTTGAATACCTTCAGTCTAAATGATATCCATTATTAGATATTACCACATTGTCCACATTTTTTCCCAGTTAAATCTTTCTTACCAAAAGTACAAATAACCTCAAATCTTTTTAAGTTGAGTCCTATCTATCTCCGTCACTGCCGGGGGGCATAAAAATTTTGCTGGTCAAACCTTTTTAGTTTCAGATGTTTTTTCCAATTGAAATCTTTGTAGGGATCCTTAATACATACAACAAAAATGGATTTGTTAATGGTATGTGTTTTTGTAAGTTCATAGGAGTTTATGACAACAGTGGGTTGTTTTGATGAAATTCAGATTATGGATAACAATCTTACAAGCCTTTGCAGCCAGTTTACTTTTTATATTAGCCTGATGGTGTTTTTAAACATCTGATTTGTATAAATAGTAGCAAATGGTAATAGTTTTTTTCTTGCTTTTTTTTTTTTACTTTTTCTTTTGAAATTTATATTTATAGAAGCATCACAAGTCCTGTATACCCTTTCCCGGCTTCCTCTAATGTTAATATCTTACATAACCATGATATGTTTATCAAAACTAAGAAATTAACATTGATACCATACTATTAACTGCATGTTTTATTCACATTCCCTCAGTTTTTCCACTTAATGTCTTTGTTCTGGAATCCAATCCAAGATACTGCATTGCATTTAGTCGTCATGTCTTAGTCCCTTCCAATCTGTGAAAGTTTCTGTCTTTGTCTTTTATGACCTTGATACTTTTGAAGAGTAATTGAGGTCAGAAATTTTGTACAGTGTCCCTCAATTTGGATTTACCTGATGTTTGCTCATGTTTAGACTGAGGTTAAAAATTTTGAGAGAAGACGCCTGGCTGGCTCAGTTGGTTAAGCGTCTGCTTTCGGCTCAGTTCATGATCCCAGCATCCTGAGATCAAGTCCCACATCGGGCTCCTTGCTCAGCGGGGAACGTGCTTCTCCCTCTCCCTCTGCTGTTCCCCCTGCTTGTGCTCTTTCTCTCTGACAAATAAAATCTTTAAAAAAAAAAAAATTGGGGGGGAAGAATACCACTGAGCTGGTGTGCCCTTCCTTCTCTTTGCATTATGTTAGGAAGCAGTCGGTTAAGGTGGTGTCTGCTAGGTTTCTTATTTTCAAATTCTAATTGTTTATTGCTCGTAATGGGAATACAACTGACTTTCATATAATGATGTTGTCTTCTGCATCCTTGCCAAATTCATTTTTAATTCCTGGTGTTTGTTGCAAGTTCTTTTAGATTTTCTACATAAATAGTCATATCTTCTGCAATTATAGTTTTACTCCTTTCTTTCCAATCTGTGTATCTTATATTTTTCTTAACTCATTCAACTGGGTAGGACTTCCAGTACAGTGTTGATTAGGAGTAATGTGAGTGGACATCCTTACCTGTTCCTGATCTTTGGGAGAAAGCACTCAGTTTCTCACCATTAAGTAGGATGTTAGTTGTATATGCCCTTTATTAGGTTAAGGAATCTCCCTTCTGTCTCTAGTTTGCTGAGTTTTTATTATAAATGTTAGATTTGTCTTCTGTATCTATTGAAACAATCATATAGTGTTTTGTATTATGTCTGTAATAGAGATTACACTGGTTATTAAGACAGCCTTGCATTTGTTAGATGAACCATGTATTTTATGTGCTGCTGTATTCAATTTGCTGAAATTTATTGATGAATTTTACATCTGTGTTTATGAGGGATATTGTCAGTAGTTTCCTTCTCATGTCTTTGATTTTGGTTTTACAGTAATGTTAGCCTCATAATATGAGTTGAGAAGCGTTCTTTCTCTATTTTCTTGAAGATACTATGTATAGAATTAGAATTTTCCTGTGAAACCATCTGGGCCTTGAGAGGTTTTGGAAATTTTTAAATACAGGTTCAATTACTTTCTTTATACTTAACTATTTATTCTTGAGTTTGATAACTTGTATTCTTGAAGGAATTTTGTTCTATAGTGGAGATAGAGGGGAAAGGTCTTGGTGGAGTTTCTGCCCCTTTTGCAGAGCTGCTGTTCCCTTACCCCGGATCTGTACCACAGTGGATACTTCTTAAGGCTCCTTCTGATCTTTTCTGTGAGTGCCAGGTAGAATTCATGGAAGAAGAGCCTAAGAGACAATGTGGACTCCCCCCGGTATCTTTGGTCCAAAGGGTTCACAGTGTTCTGCCATTCTGGAGTCTGCCTTCCCGTTTGCCAGCTATACCAGCTGTACTGCCTCAGGTGGGCTTGTGTCACCTCTCCTTTTTCCTGCAGGGAAGACTTTGGATCAGTTGTTTCCTTTGCAACCTTAGGTCTCCTGTGGATTCACATAAAGTCTTAAATTTGAAGCTAGTTTTGTTCTTTTTCTTGCTGCAAGGATGGAAGAAATACTTTTTCCTGGTCTCTACATCTTGAGGCAAAAGTCTTTGTTTTTTAAAACACCAATTTCAAGATATATTCATTTAAGCCAAGTGGTGGAAGAATGTTTATTCTGACCTCTGCATATAAATGATTTAAACTGGAAATACGTGATAGTGTGATAAAGACTTGAGAGCTCCCTTCAGTTGTCTAAAGAATGTAGTTTATTTTGTAGGATTTGGACTTCTAAGGAGAGACAAGCAAGAAACTTGAACCTAGATTCTCCTAAAGTATTAGGTAAGTAAGAAAAACAGGCTTATTAGAAGGAATTCTTTTATAAGCACATGAGCTCTAGTAAGTTGATTCATAGGTAAAGCTTATTACTCAAGCCACAGGATGGAAAATGCTTTGTATTTATAATTTATACTCTTTCTACATCCAAACAAGGGAGCATATTCTTTTTTTTTTAAAGAATTTTTTTTTTTTATTTATTCATTTGAGACAGAGAGAGAGAGAAAGAGCAGGAGCAGTAGGGAGAGGAAGAGAGAGAAGCAGAATCCCTGCTGAGCAGGGAGCCCGACATAGGGCTCGATCCCAGGACCTGGAGATCACATGACCTGAGCCGAAGGCAGATGCTTAACCATCTGAGCCACCCAGGCGCCCCCAAATAAGGGATCATATTCTTGCAGTGAAAAATTATATATGCCTGAATTGAGGTAAACCTGGTCTGATGAGAGCATAGAAGTAGGCCAAAAATACCCGTAAAGGGTGAAATTAAAAACTTCCTAGAAGAAAATGTAGGAAATACCTTGTGACCTAGGATGTAGAAGTCTTAAACACCAGCCCTTCCCCCTACCCAGCATGAACCATAATGCAGAAAATAGATGAATTTTACTATATCAAAGTTTCGGATTTATTTTAAGAAGGCAATACAGACAAATTTAATAGACAAATGGTAGATTGAAAGAGGATATTTATAAAGTCTAAAACTGCCAGGGGACTCATCTTTTTAGACTACGCAGGGAAGTCCTACAAATCAACAACAGAGAGCAATCGGGGTGTCAGTAATCTTTTGTATAACAAATTACCCAAAAATGTAGTGACTTAAAGCAGTAATAAGCACTTACTATCTTTTACAGTCTCTATAGGTTAGAAATTTGGGAGTGACTTAGCCCTCTTTCTGGGTCAGGGTCTCATGACTTGCAGTCAGCTTGTTGGCCATGGTTGCAAATACTTGAAGGCTTGGCTTCAGGTCCTGGAATATCCACTTCTAAGACAACTCACTTGCCAGATGACCAGCAAGTTTGTGCTGGCTGGTAGCTATTTCTCACCTTGTGGACCTCTCCATAAGGTTCTTTCAGTGTCCTCAGGACATGACAGCAGGCTTCTCCCAGAGCTCAAGTCATCTAAGAGAATAAAGTGGAAACCACAATATCATTTATGACCTCAGAATTTACACACCATAATTTCCTTAATACCCAATTGGTTACACAGATCTGCCCTATCCAGCGTGGAAGGAAACTACCCAAAGACGTGAATGCCATGAGGCAAGGATCATTGTGGGCCATCTTATAGATTCACTAAGTCCACAGCCAGGAATTCTAATTTCTTTTAAAAAGATAAAATATGTTTGAATAGGCAATTTATGGAAGAAAAACCCCAAAAGCTAAGGAGTATTAAGATAAACTTACCAGAGAGATTTTAAAACAAGATGCTTCTTTATATCTGTTTAGTTGGCAAACATTTGGTTGGATAATGACAGGCATTCAAAGACATGCGAAGATGCTGGAACCAACCCTGTGCACTGCTGGAGTGTAGACTGATACAGCCATTTTAGGAAAGAATCTGGTAGTACTTCATCAAATTAAGAATGTCTCACTCCTGAGTATAATCAAAGGAGTGGATGCAGAAGACCTTATAGGGATGTATTAGACAAACTCAGTTTTCTACCTGTTTCTCATGTAGAATACTTTACTTCTAGTTACCAAATGTGTAAAGGTTTTTCCCCACACCAAGCAGTTTTCTGTGACACCAGTTGGGTGTCCTGCAATTTAACTTCATTCTCACTGCCTGGAGATAGTATCAGACCCACAGGTTAAGGGCTCAGTCGCACAAAACTGTGCCCACCCTACTTCAAATCCCAATAGCAAGTGATAGGTCCCCAGGTTACAACTTACATCTGATTTGGTTACAAAATTAAGCGTTCCCACGATATCCTCCTCAGATTCGATTAACTTGCTAGAAGGGTTCACAGAACTCAGAGAAACACTTATGTTTACTGGTTTATTAAAGGATATGATAAAGGATACAGATGAACAGCCAGATGAAGAGATACATAGGGCAAGGTCTGGGAGGGTCCTGAGCACAGGAGCTTTTGTCTTTGTGGAGTTGGGGTGTCTCACCCAGTGTGAATGTGTTCGGCTGACTCGAAGCTCTCTGAACCCTTTACTACTGAGATTTTGTGAACACTTGCTCACATACGCATGATCAATCTACTCTATTTCTAGTCCCTCTCCCTTCTCTGGAGGATGAGGTGCGGTATTGAAAAACCATGAGAGACTATGGACCCTTGAGAAACAAACTCAGGGTTCTAGAGGGGAGGGGTGTGGGAGGATGGGTTAGCCTGGTGATGGGTATTAAAGAGGGCACGTATTGAATGGAGCACTGGGTGTTATACGCAAACAATGAATCGTGGAACACTACATCAAAAACTAATGATGTAATGTATGGTGATTAACATAACCTAACAAAATAAAAAGAAGAAAATCCCAAACTTCTAATCATGGCTTGGTATTTCTGGTGACCAGCAGCCAACCAAGAACCCACCCAGAATCACCTCAGTAGAACAAAAGATGCTCTTAGTGTTCTTTTTAGGAATTTCTAAGAGTTTTAGGATCCCGGTGTCAAGAACTGAGGGCAAGGACCAATCTATATATTATTATTATTTTATAGGGAACAGTTGGGAGGATGCCTTTGCTATATTGTTTGTGGTAACAGGAGTTGGAAGCGATCTGGCCATTTTCATTGTTGGGTTACAAGATGCTATACAGCAATTAGATAAACATGACACAACATGGATCTTAAATACAGTTCTGAATAAAAAAAATGGGTCTGTTACTCCTTTTGCAGTTTCTGTTTTCCATTTTTATTTGGCTACCTGTTAGACATTACAAACATGTCTAAACCAAAACTCCCAGTTCTATATCCACTACCAAACACCCAACTACCACAACTGAGCTGCTGACAATAAAAACCCATTATCTTCTTCCGATCTTCTATCTCAGTTAATGTCATTACTACCAATCCAGTTGCTAAGCGAAAAACCCTAGGAATCATCTTTGCTTCCTCTTTCTGTCAACCCCTACATTAGTAACACATATCATGTCTCAGTAACAGGTCCTGTCCTCTCTACCTCCACAATGCATCCTGGTGCCTGGGATTCTGCACATTGAACCAGCAACTCACATGATTCTAATGCAGGAGATTCATGGATCACACTTTGAGAAGCCCTAAGAAACACTTTGTCCTCCTCTTAATTGAGTAAACTCTTCCTTTTTGAATAATTTTAGGGCTTGAGAGGGAAAAATTAGAAGATACTTATTTGGGCTTTTTAGAATAAAAGTCGTTTTCTTGATTCCATTATTAATCAGTGAATCAGCAGGTCTCAAATGATAAAACCTTTCCAGATTTATCTCCAGTACAGTTGAACAGGGAGTTTAGTAAACAGGAGATAGCTAAGAACTGGGCTCTAGAGTTAGTATTTAATTCCCAGTTCCCTTACTTTAGTTGTGTAAACTTAGTCGGTTTGCTTGCCTTTAAACCTCCAGGTTCCTCACCTATAAGAATTGCATTTTCTAGCCATAGAGTTATTAAGGGGATTGAATAAGATAGTACATGTAAAGCACTTAGCACAGTGCTTGACCTTTAATGCTGCTGCTAGTATGATGATAATGATCACTATTGCTACCACTCTAGAACTAGTTTTGAGGTGACAAGTATCACATACATCCGGCAGAGGGCAGTAGAATAGCACAAGATTTAAGTACTTAAGCATACTGGAGATGCCAGTTACTGAAAATCACTTCTCCCTCTCCTGATATTTTTTGTTGTAATGGAGGAAGGAAATGGATGATGTTGGTGAACCTCCAATATGTGAGATTCTCATCCCTCCATTTACTGAAGAACAGTGATACACCCAGTTTATTTTGGTTATTAACCCCTTATCAACCATGTGGTTTACAAATATTTAGATTTTGTTTTTGTAATTATTTGCAGTTTCAATCTCCTAACACCTCTCTTGTCCTTCATATTAAAATGAGGGAAATGGACTAAAATTGTTTTTGTCTTATCAAGGTATAATTGATCAAATGATGTATTTAAAGCATACAAAGTGGAGGCGCCTGGGTGGCTTAGTCAGTTGAGTGTTCAACTCTTGATTTCGGCTCAGGTCACTATCTCTGGATTGTGGGAGCAGGCTGCATCTGGCTCTGTGCTCACAGCAATCTGCTTGGGATTCTCTCCTCTCCCTCTGCCCCTCCCCTTGCTCATGTGCTTGCTCGCACTCTCTTATTAAATAAATAAAATCTTTTTAAAAAATGTATACAAAGTGATGATTTGATATATAAATAAATGGTTAATGGATTCTCACAACACATCCATCGCCTCACATATTTCCCTTTGTGGGAGGTGATGAAAACATTTAAAATCTACTCTCTTACCTAAATTTCAATTATACAATAAAGTATTAACAACTATAGTCACCATACATTAGATATTGATACATTATTCATCTTATAACTGAAAGTTAATACACCTATTCACCAACCTCTCCCTATTTGCCCCACCCCCTGGCAACCACCAATCTACTCTCATTCTAGGAGTTTGATTTTTTTTTTTAAAGATTCTACATATAAGTGATAATGTGTGTTATTTGTCTTCTATCTGGCTTATTTCACTTGGTGAAGTGCCCTCCAGAGTCATCCATGTTGTTCCAAATGACAAGATTTCCTTCTTTTTGAAGGCGGAATAATATTGTGTGTGTGTGTGTCTTACATTTTCTTCATCCGCTCATCCGTCAAAGGACAGGTTGTTTCAATACCTTGGCTATCATAAATAATGCTGCAATGACCATGAGAGTACAGACATCTTCTTGAGATAATGATTTTGTTTCCTTTAGAATATACCCAGAAATGAGATATATGGATCATATCGTAGTTCTGTTTTTGATTTCTTGAGGAACCTCCATGCTGTTTTCTGTAGTACCTGTATCAGTTTACATTCCTACCAACAGTGCACAAGGTCCCTTATCTCCACATCCTCATCAACATTTGTTATCTCTTTTTGATAATAACTGTGTAACAGATGTAAGATGATATTTTATTATGGTTTTGATTTGCATTTCCCTAATGATTAGTGATGTTGAGCATCTTTTCATGTACCTGCTAGCCACTTGGAGGTCTTATTTGAAAAAAAAATGTCTTTGTTTGTTTTTTGTTTTTTGTTTTCTTCTTGAGGGGCCTGGAGATGGGCAGGGTGGGGAGGCACGAGGGAAGAGCAGGTCTGAGACGGGGGACCTGGGCACCCCACGGGCCAGAGGGCTCTCTGGAAGCTGGAGCAGGGCAGGCTCGGGAGGGACAGGACGGTGGGGCAGACCCCAAAGGGCATCACGGGCCATGTTGCAAGCAGCACAGTGACATGTCCGGAGTGCACAGCGCTTTATAAAGGCCACGGGGAAGGACAGGGCTCTTTTTGAACCCTTCTTGTCTGCTGCCTAGGTCAGACACAGCCACTCTTGCCTGTGTCGCTAGCCCAGGCCGGGGGAGTCGCTTTTCAAGTGGGGGGTGGGAGTGGGGGCCTCGGGTGGAGGGTGTCAGCGAGCTGGGACCATAACGCTCCAGCCCAAGCGCGTGTAGAGCGAGACGATATGGGGCAGCGCTGCAGCCGCCTGGACTTTGTGAAGCCCGGTGGAAAACCGAGAAGACATGGAGAGGTTTGGAGTAGCCATTACAGCAGGCCCAGTGGGACTGCTCTGCCCGAGGAAGGCCCGATCTTCCCCTTCCTTTGCCCTTTTTTTTAATTGGGATATGGGGGTGGGGGGCTTTGCTATTGAATTATAGGGGTTCCTTATATAATTTGGATATTAACCCCTTATTGGATATATGGTTTGTAAATATTTTCTCCTACTTCACAGGTTGCCTTTAACTTTTGTTGATGGTTTCCTTTGCTGTACAGAAGCTTTTTATTTTTTTATTTTATTTTATTTTTTTAGATTTTATTTATTTATTTGACAGAGAGAGACACAGCGAGAGAGGGAACACAAGCAGGGGGAGTGGGAGAGGGAGAAGCAGGCTTCCCGCGGAGCAGGGAGCCCGATGCGGGGCTCGATCCCAGGACCCCGGGATCATGACCTGAGCCGAAGGCAGACGCTTAACGACTGAGCCACCCAGGCGCCCTAACCCCAAAAAACTCTTAATACAGTAACGTGCAGACCAGCTTTACATGTAATAGTGCCAAAGTGAAAACAATCCAAATGTCCATGAAAAGGTAAATGGATAAATTATGAAACAATGGAATACTTACTAGGAATAAATTGCTGACACAATTACATGGATGAATCTCAAAATGATCATGCTGAATGAAGGAAGCGGACAAAAAGTAAATACCATGATTCCATTTATATGAAACTCTACAAAATAAAAACTAAACTATAGTGACAGAACATTTGTTGTCACTTGGAGATGGTGGATCAGGCATGGGCAGAAGGGAAGGATTACAAAGGCATGAACTTCTGGGGGTGATGGATATGTTCATTATATTGAATGTTTCGTGGTTTCATGTTTGTATACATAGGTGAATTTACCAAATTATACACTTTAAATATGAATGGTTTATTGTATATCAATTATTCTTAAGTAAAGCAGTTTTTAAAAGGTATTTGCCACTTGTACATGTTTTTTCTCACAAATAATTATATTCAAAGAAAACACAGTCTAGTCATCATAGAATAGGCCTTGTTACTCATCCACTCATTCTCAAAATTTCTGAATATCTGTTAGTGTCTGTGGGAAATACAAATATGAATCTTTTACACTAATGAAGCATATAATCTGATAAACTAGTTAGTTAGGCTTTGGAAATCATAAACAATTATTTTTTTTATACTGTTTTCACAAAGATCCTTACCAGAAGCCAATCCCTCCCAATGACAACGTGTCAGCTGCTCCATACAGCTCAGAACCTTGCTCCACATGTCGTCAAACATGTGAGCAAGGACATCCTCTTTCATGCAGTAAAATGGAGCAATGGGAGGGTACCCTAATTTCTGTTTCTCTGGAGCTGCTTGTAATTTCTTTCCCTGAAATCCCTCTTCCATATCAGTGTGGCCGAATGCTAGGTATTCCTCTATTATTCCTTCAGAGAAGATTACACAGCCTTTCTTTTCTCTTTCCATAGAATACAAGCTAGGGGATTTGGCAATGGAAGATGCTTTATGAGCATAAGAAGATGAAAAATGTAACTTATTTCTCCTAATACCAAATACAGTAGAATCTCTTTCTTAAGAAAGTGTTGCCTCATATGAAGCTGAAACAACAGAAGGGGATCTAGGATACAGCCCATAACTTTCACTTGGAGTGATTATCTGCCTACCCAAAATCCTGAAGTGAGGAAAGCTACATGTCCATTGTTGGCACTCTTCTTGTAGGCTCTTAGTATGCACACTCAACTTCTGCTCATACAAGAGCTCATCAATGGCTGTGAACATTGATGTGATTGCGATCAGTGGCATTTTGATCAAGTTCACTATAGGCCCAGGAGAAGTCCGAGCTACCTTCTGTAGAGATCCCTGTGCCTGTATAGCTTGGAAAAGCAGATCTTGAATTCCCAGTGTCAGCTGATGTGAAAGGTGATGCCTGTGTGATGACAGACTCACTTTGGGAACTTGTGTCTTTTTCATGGCTGTCATTGGTAGAAGAAATTTCATCCAGCTGCCCTGGAAGAGGATGGTGATTGATAGCATGTTTTGTTATTCCTTTCAGCTCCAAGCTTTGTGGCACCGCCTTCCAAGTGTATCTGGAGATCATCCTCCTATTCCTCTTCTGTCGTGGAGGGGTGGACATGCCAGTGTCGGGGCCTCCAGGCCTGGCCCTCCCGCCGGCTCCTGCCCGGCCCCCTCCCACCATCTTCCGGGCCCGTCACGCCCTGTCACCTAGACTCCGGACCGCCAACACTCCCTGGGTCCAGAAGCTTTTTAGTTTGATGTAATCCCACTTGTTTATTTTTGCTTTTGTTGCATTAGCTTTTGGTGTCAAATCCAAAAAATCATTGCCAGACCAGTGTCAAGGACATTACCTACTATGTGTTCCTCTAGGAGCTTAATGGTTTCAGGTCTTATGTACAAGTCTTTAATATATTTTAGTTGACTTTTGTGTATGGTATAAGGTGGGGGGCGTCCAATTTCATTCTTTTGCGTGTGTATATCCAGTTTCCCCAATATCATTTATTTATTTTTAAGATTTTATTTATTTATTTGAGAGAGAGGGAGGGAGAGAGAGAGAGAGAGAGAGAGAGCAAGAGAGCACAAGCAGGGCCAGGGACAGAGGGAGAAGCAAACTCCTCGCTGAGTGGGGAGCCCGACATGGGGCTCGATCCCAGACCCTGGGATCATGACCTGAGCTGAAAGCAGACACCTAATCACTGAGCCACCCAGGCAACCCCCTCCCCCCATATCATTTCTTGAAGCAACTCTCCTTTCCACATTGTTTATTCTTGACACGTTTGTTGAAAATTAATTGACCATGTGTGTATGGTTTTATTTCTGGGCTCTTGATTCTATTCCATTGGTCTGTGTATTTGATTTTATGCCAATACTATACTATTTTGATTACTATAGTTTTACAATACAGTTGAAAGCAGGCAATGTGATGTCTCTAGTTTTGTTCTTGCTCAAGATGCTTTGGCTATTCAAGGTGTTTTTGTACTTCCATATGAATTTCAGGATTGTTTTTTCTATTTCTGTGAAAAATACCATTGGAATTTTGATAGGGATTGCATTGAAAATATGGATTGCTTTTGGTAGTCTGGACATTTTAACAGTATTCTTTCAATCCATAAACATAGAATATCTTTCCATTTATTAGTGTCATCTCCAATTTCTTTCATCAATATTTTATAGTTTTTGTGGGTACAGATCTTTTATCCCCTTGGTTAAATTTATTCCTAAATACTTTATTGGTTTTGATGCTATTATGAGTGGGATTGTTTTATTAATTTCTGTTTCGGATAGTACACTGTTAGTGTATAGAAGCACAACTAATTTTTGTATATTAATTTTGTATCCAGAAACTTTACTAAATTTCTTTATTAGTCTAACAGTTTTCTGGCAGAGTCTAGGGTTTTCTATATATAATATTATATCTTCAGACAGAGGAAATTTTACTTCTTCCTTTACTATTTCCATGCCTTTTTTCTTTTTCTTGCCTAATTACTTTGGCCAGGACTTCCACTACTATGTTGAATAGAAGTGGCGTGAGTGGGGATTCTTGACTTGTTCCTGCTCTTAGAGGAAAAACTTTCAGCTTTTCACCATTGAGTATGATGTTAGCTGTGGGTTTGTCATAGATGGCCTTTATTATGTTGAGATGCAGTCCATCTACACCCAATTTGTTGAGAGTTTTTATCATAAAAGGATGTTGAATTCGTCCAATACTTTTTCTTCATACATTGGGGTGTTCATATTATTTTTATCTTTCATTTTGTTAATGGGTTGTAACATATTTGTTGATTGGCATTTGTTGAACCATTCAAGAATAAATCTCACTTGATCATGATGTATGATTCCTTTAATGTACTATTAAATTTGGCTTGTTAATATTTTATTGAGGATTTTTGGATTTATGGTCATCAGAGATACTGACTTGTAATTTTCTTCTAGTGTCCTTGTTTGGCTTTGATATCAGGATATTGTTGGTCTTGGAAAATGAGTTTGGAAGTGTTCCCTCTTTTTTTTTATTTTTTGGAAGAATGTGAGAAGAATTGGTATTAATTCTTCAAATGTTTAATAGAATTTACCAGTGAAACCAGATAGTTCCTGAACTTTTCTTTATTAGGAGATATTTGGTTACTGATTCAATTTCCTTATTCATTGTTGGTCTGTTCACATTTTCTATTTCTTCATGATTCAGTCTTGGTAAATTATATGTTTCCAGGGGTTTATTCATTTTTTCTAGTTTATCTAATTTGTTGACACATAATTGTTCATAGTAGTTTCCTATGATCCTTAGTATTTCTGTGTTATGAGTTGTAACATTTCCTTTCATTTGTGATTTTGAGTCTTCCCTGTTTTTTTCTTAGTGTAGCTAAAGATTTTTCTATTTTGTTTATCCTCTTGGTTTCATTGATCTTTATAATTGTCTTTCTAGTGTCTATTTCATTTTTTTTCCTTCTCTGACCTTCATTTTGCCTTCCTTCTGCCAATGTTGAGCCTAG